TTTTATATTAAATGTAGAATATGATTTATGATAAAATTTAATAAACATTTTCTGATTTTAATAAATATTTTAAAAATACTAACTAGTTAATATTTTATTACCTGAAAAATATTTTATGTTTTATATTATAAAGTAATTAATTTATTCTTTTGTTTTTATTTTTTGTTAATTCTTTTTAATAAATATTTTATAAAAATATTAACTAGTTAACATTTTCTGTTTTTTTTTTATTTTGTTTTCTAATGAATATTGTAATTTTATCTCAAATATTAATTTTCTTCTTATTTATTCATTTTAGTGGCTTTTGTAGTGAGGGTCTACATTATTGTTGTAGACCTTCATGTACTATAATAAGAGTGAAATAAAGATTCTATTTGTAAGTTTTCATTTATGAGGTCTATAATATTACAATAGACCCTCTTGCATTGTAACATGTTTATATAAAGGTGTTTTAAAGATTCCATTTTAGGGCTTGCTATTGTGATGGTCTATAGGCTTCCATAGACCATCATGGACTATAGGCTTCCATAGACCATCATGGACTATAGCAAGTCTTTAAAGTTTAAATAAGCTTATGTTAAGGCTGAGGTTTCAATTTCATTCAAATGAACTTCAGCCTCCTCAATTCTCGAAGAGATGCAGAGTCTGTCTGAACGTCCTGCTTCCAAGAAAAAGATATTTCAGAGCATGACCACTCTTGTGCTTGGTTAGATCTTGAAGTTGTACTCTAGCTCCAGGTACACAAGGTAAACGTAAAACCCTCTTCTTTTTTTTTTTTTTAATCAAAAAACGTTATTTTTTCCCCTTGTCGACATATACTTGGAAATATTTCGATATATTATATATATATATTTTTTTTGTTTTTGGGAACGATATGGTCGACATTTACCGAAATGGTCGAAATATCGACCGACATATTGTATTTTTTTAATTCATGTAAAATTTATGTCGTTGGGTCTCGACACTGACATATGTCGGGCGACATTTCGCGACATTTTAAACCAAGTTTGAAACTATAATAAAATATATTGTTCCATATTTTGTGCCAAGATGTCTCTTCTTCTTTGTTCCCACTGTACTTGAAATTCCCCAAAATTTACCATCAGTTCAAACTCTTTTTCTATTGGTTGCATTGGGAGGAAAACCACAGAAATGGAAACATGCTCTGTCATTTGCAATTGTGATTTGTTGGTGCATCCAAACACTGGACCATGTTTCTAACATCAGGACGCTATAAATAGGTAGTTCCGGTTACTAAGCTTCCAACTTTCTGAGTTTTATTATTTCTACAATCTACGCCTAGAGGTACAAACTGTTCAATTCAGTTGGATTTGGGTGAACCCTACTTTCAATTGTTTTAGATTGCTCAATCCCCTTAAGCTGGGTATTGAATTCATTTTCTTTTTATTCATCATGAACTTTATTTTTCCTCTCTCTTTCTCTCTCTGGCTTGTTTTATGTTCATGTCTGTAGGGGTAGATATTATTGGAAGGTTTCTGATGATACTTCATTTTCTGTTAATTAATTCAACTTTTACGTGTGCTGTCTTCTGCTAGTATTGTATAATTTGCCCTCTCTTGGTGTTTGGGGTCTTTACCCCATACCATGGATTGTTTTTTTTTTTTTTTTTGTTGATCAGCACCCCATACCATGGGTTGTTGTATTATGGTATTTCTGAGCCTATGTAAAATTGATGTATTATGATATTATGATGTCCGATTGCATAGTACTGGTGAAATATTCTTATTCTGAATGAGCATATTGGGAATTTCCTCAATTTTTTGTTTTAATATTTGAAATTGTACAAGCGTTTACATGAAGGAACTTGCATAACCTTTAGTTCCACACTAGATTCTAAGGATAAATAATATGTAAGACAAATCTGGGTCAGTTCTTGTGTCAAATTCCTTAGTCAGAATAGGGATAACCTCTTGAGATCTACTTGATTATAAGTTGATTGTCTTATAATGAACTCAGAAATGTGAGGCACTCTTTAAGTGGATGAAGCACTGACAAGGTTACTAGATAATTGGTTACAACATATTGCAAATGTATTGGGGCTTTTCCTTCTTGTGTCAACATGTTATCGAGGCTGTCCTTTTACTTCAAAATAAAATGAAAATCTAGCAATATATGATGGTGCAAATGTGAAATACGTAGATGCCAAATTTTACTTTCCATCTAGGATTGGGTGTATATTTATTTATTGCATCTAAGTATTACCGCAAAAGGAACATGATAAGCAATGAAATGTCTTAAAGCAGCCTTTTCCAACAAGCATGGCATCCTTGGTCATTGAGGATCCATGACCATGAAAGTTTGGCATAGGTTTTAATGCTGTCTACCAACCTGATGCAACCCTCCTTTATCTGGGCTTGGGATCGACCGTGCAAGACAAAGCACACACTGGTGGACAAGACTTACATGATGGTAATGTTGATTTCCTTGGTCATTCATTGTCAAGGGTTCCTTTGACCTTAAGATGAATGTCATATAATTATGTTATTTATTCCTAAAGAAAGAGAGGGCTGATTAAAAGTTTCTGTAGTAACCTTGAGGCATAAAATAGCAAGTTTTTTATTGTCATGAACTGAAGGTTTTATGTTAAGTCATAAAATCAAAAAAAAAAAAAAAAAAGAAACAGAGTAACAGAGTGCAAGCTCAAGCCTTTCCCAAGGTTTAAATTATTGAGAGGATTTCTCTTGTCTTGTTATTGGTTCCACTAGAATCTGCCTCTCAAAATTTCCAATTTTTTCTTGAAAGTAGATGACAACCTGATGAATGTAGTGACCTAAAACATAGTTTTCAAGGTGCCAAGGTGAGGCTAGGCGACAGGGGGGCGCCTTGTTGCCTAGTTCAATGATGGATTTTTTTTAATGTAAAAAACATAGACATGGTTTTAAAAAACGACTCGGAAACAGAACCGGGTTGACAGTTTGACTGTCCGGTTCGAACGGACGACCCGTTCTGACAACAAAAATTTAAAAAATAAAAAAATAATTAAAAATAAAAAACAGCCAAAAAACATTGATGGGGTCGACGGGTTGACGGTTCGACCGCCCGGGTCAACGAATCGTTGACTGATTCAGCAGTTTTTGGCTAGGGACTAGGTTTGGGGTAAAACGGAACCAGTTGCCTGGACGGTTCTCGGGCCGAACGGTCCGACCGTCCGGGTCAACAACGGTTCAAAAACATTGAACATAGATCCTAGGGTAGTTCCCTAGGTACCATAACCATATTTCCTTAATAACTATTCATAATTTTCATAAGAAAAGTATAAAGTTCATGTTAAAGTATAGAAAACCAACATATTCATGAGAAGAAAAAAAAGGAAAAGAAAATTCAAAAATTACATGGGCTGGACCCTTATTTTTGTTATAGTAAAAGAAGAAAAGGATAAGTAGTAGTAGTGGTAGTAGTAGAGTATACGGAAGAAGGAAATATGTTGACTAGACAATTTTAAGTTCCTCCTTGTTGGTTTAGATTTTGAAGTCTTTGAGGGTTCAATACAGCATTTAGCAATGTTTGTGTTGATTAATCCCTAACAAATAAGAAAATAATAAAAAGGAAATTAGTATATAAACACACAAAATGGATATATTAGTTTAACAATGTCTATTTTATAATTATAATCTCAAAAAATAAAGAATAAAAAAGTATTTTATAATAGAAAGAACAAAACTGCTTGGCAATTATGCGAGACGAGCCTCAAAGGGCGCCTTGTTGCCTAGGTGTCGCTTTGACAACTATGCCTCAAAATTCATGGTCTTATTATCATCCCCAAAATCGACAAATGCCTAAACTTCCAAACATCTTCTATATCTCTATACAAACCATGCTCTAACCAAGGAAATACACCTTTATCTTCTTCTTTATCAAGTTATCTTTAAGCTCTCAATCCACTATACCGTCCCTATGCGATTCCGTACGCCATACTACTATTTATAATCTTATAGTTCTTAAATGAGCTAGATTTTTGCTACTTTATCATCCAAATGCATCAATAGGATCATCTCTGGATTGAAAATTGGAATTGTCAAATACAAATCCCACCCGAGGCTATTCCTGATCTTCCTGAATGTGAGGAGCTTGTGCCAGTTCAGGGCTTGCTTCTCTTCCTGCTCCACCTCAATCTGTGGCTCATTTATTTTGACCAGTGGTATGAGCCCTAACAAAGATGAAGCGGATTTTTTTTGATTGGTAAGAAGCACAAAAATCTGGATAGAAACAAAGATGAAGTCCTATACCTATCAAAAATATAAAAGAGACATGGTCCCCACTACTTGTGGAACCCCAACTACTTTCATGTATTTCATTTTTAACCACCCTATCTTATCTATTTAGGCCATGTTTGGTTCAACTCTCGTTTTTGCTCATTCTTTCCAATAATACAATTCTAGAATGGACAAAAATGGATAGAAATAAAGAGAATGAGAATGTTACTACGAAAAGCTTTTGCATTTTTTTTAACCACCCTATTTTCATTCATTTTTTTCATTAACCAAAGTTTATATATATACACATAGATTGATAGATAGAAAATCTTTTGCATTTGGTTTATCATCATCATTGTTTTCAAAACCGGACCGGACTGGACGGTCGGACCGGAAAAACCAAGAACCGGTCACTTGACCGGTTCTGTTTTCCTCCAAAACCGCTTTTTCCTCCCAAACCATTGATTTTGGTTAGCAAACTGCTGAACCGGCCAGTTAACCGTTTGAACGGTTTTGACCGTTTTCCAATTTTTTTAAATTTTTTATTTTTTTTGTTAGAATGGGCCGACCGTTCGAACCAGTAGCCGGACCCCTGACCGGTTCGTTTTTAAAAACCATGATCATGATCATGATCATCATCCATGTCTTATCCCAACTATATGGGGTCGGGTACATGAATCCTGTTTTGCCAATCCGTTCTATTTAAAGCCATATCCACTGCTAAATCATTAATACTTAAACCATTTCTTACTACTATCCATGTCTTTTTTGGCCAACCCCGAGTTCTAGCCCGTTCAATGAGTAATAAATCACTTATTCTAACTAGCGCAATTGGTGGTTTTCTATGCACGTGCCCAAACCATCTTAGTCTACTCTCTCATTTTATCACCTATTGGGGCTATTATTAGATTCCTACTTCTCTCATTTTGTATTTGGTTGCATAGAGAAAATGTAAAAGACAATTTACAGGAAGCAATTAGTAGTTTAGCACCTATTTAAAACTAATTTAAAGAAAATTAGTTTGCTGAGTTGAGTAGGCAGATGTGCAAATGAAGAAAAGAGCTTGGAACTTCCAAATAGAAATGGAATTAAAAAACTGTAAAATTAAAAATAAAATTAATAACATGAAGTACAAAATTCCAAGAATTTTCATCAAATTGATAATAATATATTCAATAAAGATAATATATTAAGAAAGCTATAAAATATAACATCATATAGTCATGCCTCATTGCTTATTTTGATTTTTCAAATGTGCCGGTGGTCATAGATCAGTGGTCTAGGTCTCAAAACCCACCGGCATATATTTTTACCAGCGCATGGCTGGTGGTCAATGCCCATTGGCATAGGTTTTGATGACAACAGTGGCCGATAGATAGTTGACTGCTGGCCATCTGCTAGTAAAAATCTATACCGACGGTTTTTGAGAATTAGGCTGGTGGTCATAAATCGCCGACACATAGCTTATTTGAAGAATGAAGATGAGCAACATGGAGCACTAATATTTTTAGTGTTGCAAGTTACCTCAATTTCTGTGCCACGGGCTCATCTTTCATTCTAAAATGAATGAGGTCCATGGCAAGAATTTTGTAACCAAATACTCTCTCGTAATTCATTCTTGCCCACATGCTCAAAATAAGTAAGAATTGAAAAAAATGAGAGGCCCATGGCAGCAAACCAAACATGGCCTTGGAAAACTTCATATGTTAGAGTGACATCCGCAATTTGAAAGTTGAAACTCCATAACTTCCATGTTATTTCTTCCTGAATCATCTAAATCAGCTTCCTCAATATCTTCTGGGTTTCCATTAATTGGTTTAGTTCTATACTTGGGTTTTAGAAAGCAACTTTGATCAGTAACACAAGATGAATGATAATAACACCTTACCATCCATATCATCATCTCCAACACATTCTCCTATATAATTACTGTCACGACTTCACCTGATTTCCTATTTAATGTCATATCATCATCATCATCATCATCATCATCCTTCTCCTCCTCATCATCATCTAATCCTTACCTAACTGTATGGGGTTGGCAACATGAATCCTCTTTCGTCATCTCTTTTTTGCCAGTGCCATATCTATTGTTAAATTATGAATACTTTTCTTACAATCCATGCCCTTTTTGGTCTGCCCTTAGGCCTTCTAGCCCCTTCAACTTGTAATAGATTGCTTCTTTTTATAGGCAAGTTGTAAGACATTGGTATTGGTGGAAATGCCAGCCATCCAAATATATGAAATACATT